GGGAGTGTCAGAAAAGGACGGTGTCCAAGGTACTACTAAGTGAAGTATTAAAGCACTTACCAAGGCAATCGCAACTTGCAAATTCTTAGGCATTGACTACCTTTGAATGGATCAGTTATGCATTGATCAGTTTAATGTTGATGAGGTGAACCAGGAAGTACCTAAGATGAGGCAGTACTATAACAATGCTGATGCAACTTTAATTGCAATTAATACTGAAGTTAAATTTAATGTAAATAAAAAAGAGTTTGCTTTAGAAGTATTAAAAACAATAATCAGTTCTCAATGATTTGCTCGTTCTTGAACTTTCCAAGAAGGTCTACTCTCTAAGCAAACTATTTTCATGTTTGACGATGGATTAGTGGATGGAAGAACAATGGCACAAGTTTGGGCATTCATACAACAACGAGATTTTTCTTTTCCTTGTTATGCAGAGATAAATGATGATCCCGACCAATTCATTACTCCTGTCGGCTGAACTTATGGCAAAAATAAAGGCCAGATCAAGTTAGGATTGTCTCAATGTCTAGAAGCAATCAAAAGCCGTGGCCGTGATAATCCCATAGATGGTATTTATTCAATATTAGGCTTGTTATCTTATGGAAATAAAATAATTCCTAAGTATAAAGAGTGGGGACACCAGTACACCAAAAAGGAATTGGGAGAAGCTTTGCTAGATGTGATGAAAGCAGCGGTAGAGAAAGATGGTTATAGCGAAATTTTGGCTTGGTTTGGTCCTAGAAGAAATGAAATTAATTTGTGGTGAGTGCCTGAAATGGATGAAAATGGCTCAGTCAATATGTGAGGAGGAATAAATATAGATTGCAGGCCAGGAAGTGCTGAAGTAACTGGAAGTGGCATCAAATTAATTGGTTCCCAACATATAGTAAAAAATCGTGAACTTGCATCATTAAGACGGCTAGAAGGTTCAATAGAAAGGGGAATTGGCGAAGCCTGCTTTTTATTTATAGAAAATCAGGTCATGCTTAGTCTGCAGGGAAGCATTGAAACTTATAGAAAGATAAAAGATGGCGACATTTTAGTAATACTTAACAAAGAGCAATGAAAAAGCGACAAGCCTTTAGTTATCCTGGTGCCAAGTGTAAATAACCCTGATTGTCCAATTGACATTTTTAGATTAAAAGACTATCAATTATCAGACAATTCTGAAACATTAGCACTTAAAAAAATCGAAGAAAAGGAACTATTTATTGATATGGTTAACAAAAAAGTAATTAAATTAGGAACTGAAATTGCGATTATAGTTAAGGATAGTTATAAGGAAGAAGAACACAAACAATTAAGGATACTTTTGCGAATACAAAGCCAATTAATAAACCTATCTGTAAAAAATGGAATCCAAAATAAAGACAACCCCTTAGTCAAGGAAAATTTAGAAGAAATTAAAAGAGAAGTAGATAAATATATAATGGATACTGAGGAAATTTACAAAACTGAAGAAGAAAGGATTAAAGTAAAAATGGAGTTGGAGAGGGCGAAAGAAAACAGAAACGGTAATAATTGAAAGGATATTCATCAAGATTTCGAAGAAGAAGAATTAGTGAAAAACTGAAAAGGCAAAGGTTTCTCTTACGAACAAACTGAAGAGTGAGTTT